GCGGCCCGCCCGCCGGGGGTGACCCCCTAGCGCGGGCGGGGGGGGCTGGGGGGGGGGGCAGCCGGGGCCCCGCAGCCGCAGCCGCGCAGGGGTCAAGGTGAGTGGCCGCCGGCGACCTCACTGGCTTCCAGGCAAAGCAGGCGAGGTTGGGATAGGGAAGGGGGGCAGCCAGGCACGCCTCGGTCCAGGGTTGGCGGTCCGATCTGGAGAGACGCACCGGGGTGTTCTGGAAGGCACGGTGCGGAGCATGTGCAGAGTGCCGTTGCTGACTCGCGAAGCAGTCACCTCCTTCTTAACTTCCAAGGTCCAGAAGACCCCAAAGGGTCCTGGGCCCTTCCCTGTGCCTGCTTCTTTTCAAGTGGAGCAGCCCTTCCATCTACTGTTAAAGGCAACACTTATCTGTTTGGGGAGCGTCCAGGAACTTTGGGGGCAGTAGAAGAAAACTGCAAAGAATTGTCCAGGCAGTCGCCAGGAGTCAACGCTGACTTGAAGCATTGTCTCCAGGCAGGCAGGCAGGCAGGCAGACACACACACACACACAAACCCATACAACTCCAGTATACAAAACCAGCTGTAGCTGAGAGGGTTTTGGAACCAGATGCACCAGCATACTGGTTTCTTAATTTTAGGAAGTAGCATTTGAATAAAAATAGTGTCTGTCTTCGAAAAGTTATTGAAACCCTTAAGCCATTCAGGACATTTCTGGCCAGTAAATAAGGGCCCTACTCCCATTCTTTTTCTGGGGCCTATGAAAGTTGTAGGGCATCATTGTATCCTTTTGCCCCTGAGAAAAACCTCACACCCCTTTCAGTACTCGTTTCATTATTTGTCAACATTATGATTCCATACTGGGAAAGGGAGGAATATTAACTGGATCCATTGGCCCAGTTCTGGAAAACGCTTTTTACAAATGTAGGTCGCTGGCAAGAACCTCAACATCTGATAGGAAGGCTGCGGGTTTAACTTGTCCACCCATTCCCCAGCCATCAATATTTAAGTATTTTGAAAGCAGTCAGAGTTTAACAAAGAAGTACACAACTATTTGGCAGCTGTAGCCTTCCCTCATGATAGTGGTCAGTACAGGGTATTTGAACAACTGCTAGGAAAAACTTTATACAGACAGTCCCCTATTTATGAACTTTCGAGTTGCGAACTTTCACTGATACGAACAAGATGGACCTGGAAGTTGGGAGAAGGAGGAAGAGGGTTAGTTTCCAGCGTGCCGCAAGCTAACCCTTTCCTGCCTTCTCCCGCCTTCTGGGAGGTTGGCGGTTTGCATTGGAGTTTACAGGATGCTCTTGGAGGCTGCCATCTTCAGCCTTCCTCCTGCAAGGCCTCACAAAGGGCCAGCAGTTTTGCCTCCTGCATAGCCGCCCCCTTCACCCAGGGAGCTCCCGCTGCCTCTTCTGCCTTGCCTGGCAACGGAGCACCCCACAGCCCACCTGCTTGTCCCACTGCACGGTCCACAGTCTGCGAGCTATCACTTCTCGCATTGGCAGCAGAAGACAGGGCCTCTCTGCCCACGCTGGTG